AAGACAACACTCCTTGCTTGACTTTTCTTATTTTCCTTAAACGTCTTTGTAATTTGATATTTTCTTGTTTATGAATCATTTTAAGGAAAATTTAGAATCTTCAATGAATTGTAATTTGCATAACTCGGAGAAGCATATGCTCAAGTTTAGTGATCGATTGTGACTCTTGAGGGTTAGGAAAAATGAATGTTAGATACTCTATGTGAAGTATTGGTAGACATATATCTGCAGGATAACTTGTGTTATAACACTCAGGTGAATCTTCTGGTGTTTCTTGTTCCCAGTGGCTTAGAATGGATGTCAATTTCAATCCCCCATCTTTTTACATCACTTATGAATGCATTCCCCTGCTGCATTCAAGAAAAAGCCTTGGTTGATGTTATTTGCAGAGCACACTGTTGTCGATGAGAAAAAACAAAAGTGATGGTGTTTCATGTTTCAGACCAGAAATTGTTTGAGTTGATTAGCATTTTTTGAACATCTCTGAGTTGATTAGTTAAGCACTTGAAAATTATTGCTGTCACATAATGATGCTGCAGAATCAGATGATGTACTTCTAGTATGACACAAAAATCTTGTATGCGTAAAATTTATTTTGAACTGAAACTCTAGTTTGGAGTACTATAGATTTGCTTACCAAGTTGCAGGTTGTCATATTGCCACTTCATGTTGTATGTTATGGAATGTCATTTAACTAAAGAAGCCCTGAATATGTGCTTGCAGGTTGGTACTACTTCATCTACAGCTGTGGATCCTCTGCTTGCACTGGGAAAGATTACTAAGGTGATTTGTTAAAAAGATGCATCTAGGGATTTTGCCACGGGTAAGATAAGATTTCTGTATCACTATGTTGCAGAGATCTATTGGTGAAGGTTAAATTTGTCCTCTGCTATTTCTTTTTCTATTTTCTTCTCATTGGTCAGGAATTTCCCTTAAAAAACTTAGTTCATGCTTAAGAAAAATTATAGTCCAACATGCATAATGTTAATAGTTTAATCATTTCTGATTTGTCTTTGTTATCATACAATGATCTTGAGGGATCTTGTAAAGAAAGGAGAAGATAGAAATAGTCAGACTATGAGAATTAAATATACTTTCTAGACTTCACCTCCGTCAAAGAGCACCATGAAATGCATAAAGAGATTCTTTTTTGCAGAACTTCCATTCAGGGCCAATCTAAGATATCAAGTTAGTCCTCATAAGAAAATGAGTTTTCCATTACAAGCTAGAAAACTTAAGAAATCAGAACAAATGTTAATGCTCTGAATTTCAAGACAAACCAGAAGCTGATGTATAAAGTGTTTCACTGACTCCTCCAGAGCCAAACATAGAGAAAAAAGCTTTGCTTGGTATATATTGATACATTCTCAAAACTTTAACTGATAAAATAAGTGACTCATTTTTATTAATCTTTATTCCTCCCATCGTCTTACATTTAATCTATGGATATTAATGAGACCTATAATTCTTTGCATGCATGACCTTTTGACAGAGTCATGGAATCTGGTTTCATGTGGATGCTGCATATGCTGGAAGTGCTTGTATATGCCCTGAATTTCGCCATTATATTGATGGTGTTGAAGAAGCTGACTCATTTAACATGAACGCTCATAAATGGTTTCTAACTAACTTTGATTGTTCAGCGCTCTGGGTTAAGGTATGCCATTATGTGGTTCATGCATTTCTTCTTATTATCATTGTGATTTTAAATGGCATGCAAAATAAATCGGTCATTTATCCTTATTCTCTCGTGATGGCAAACCTCTGTAGCTTTTCCAGTGTGGTATTTTAATTTAGATAGTTTTCTCCTTCCAACATGCTCTGGGATCCCGATTCTCTCATGATTAGGCTTCTGGTCATATCCTTTTTATGCTTCCACCAAGTTGCTATCTATAATTAGTAATAATTCTACAAAATTCAACTTCTCAAAATGTTTGTCGTATTTTGGAATGTATCATTGATGTTTTAATGCTATGGTAGATATTTGCTAAATAAATGTGAATACCCTCTACGGGCACTGTCAATGTGGAGTGGTAAGGGTAGTGAGTTGTGTACAAGTTAAACATTCAGCTTTCTTAGCACGAAATTGCCACCCTCAGATTTGACCCCATCTTTTTTCACTTTATAGACCAAGCTTCTACCACTGTGCTAAGCCATGACCTTTTAGAGATTTTCCATGTTGTCTGAAAAAGAGTAACAAACGAAGTTCATGTATATTTGGGACTGGATATGTGTATCAATACATCAAGATTTTGAGGAGTCAACAGACTTATGTATAAACAATCAAATTATGTATAATTACGTAGACCATGTCATTCTTAATGCGGTGATAATCTTGGGAACTCCAAGAGACTACAATTCATATCTGTTAATTTTTAAGCAAACATTGCTCAAAATAAGGATCAAGTAGAAGTTCACAAGTTCTGATAAAGTAGAGGTAGGTAAATGTTAAACTTTGATGTTAAAATTTTGAGTCTCGAGAGGTATCAGATATACTATATGTAGATACTAGAGATAAATGGTGCCTGAAGGTATGGTGAAACATAAATGAAAAGTGATGGATTTTAGGGAAAGGAAATTTAATGGGAATGGTTTGGAGAGGAGTGTTGATAGTCGTTGTTAGAACGGAAATCCCAAGAATCATTGACAAACGCATAAGTGTCGAATATACAAAATTTTTCTTAAAACTCTACAAGGCAGAATTAGGGTTTATCTTTGAAATCGCTCTGGTTTGATCTTGCCTTAGCACGAATACAGAAAACAAGAGACAGACGCAGAAGGTAGTTCGCTGAATCTCACGATCTTCTGTTGTATATCCCTAAACGCCAAAAATTTGGATGCAGTGTGGGCTACATGAACCTCTGAGCTTTTGCTCTCTCTCAACCTTTCTCAAAACGTGAATAATGAATTGATACTGATTTAGAGAGTCTAGACGTTTATATATAGATTACGACAGAAACCCTAAGGAGAAATAAGGACCGGGTTTTCAATGGGCTTAGGATTCTTATGTTCAATTCAGAACAAACATCTTACAGCCCATTAATAATAAGTTAGTCCACTAAATGCTTATTATTGATCTCTTGAGCTTTATCTCAAAATTATATTCAAGCTCCTTATTATTATATGCTTAATAATCTCTCCATGTTTAAGATTACAGATGTCCATCAATTAAATAAATTACCGACAATTATATTTAATTGACTTTTTTTATTCCTTGAGACCTTATCACTCAACTTATTTAAATACCAGAATATAGTTTCCTTAATAATTAATTTTCACTATACAAATTATATCGTCTCTCAATTCACCGAGCTTATTGACACAATATGAATCTCACTTTTTGATGAATTAAAGTGACAAATATTATATACACATGCCAATTAAATATTTTGAGATTAAGAGCATAAGCAATCATAATAATCATAAGGTATTTATTATTTTATTGAATCAGTAAAAGATCATAATTTCAACATGGGTCTGTTCAATACACAAAATGTACTAGTGTAATAATCCGAGATATCAAACAATCTCGTATAGTCAAGACAAACTATGCCAGAATATTACACTAAAATCATGTTGATGGTGTGTCCAATTCCATCTAGGATTGTGAACATATATTCATATTATAAAAGGATCCGATAATTTGGTTTTCTGTGTATAAACCGAACTCTACACACTAGATTATCTACAATGTAAAATATAAGACACACATGCATATCATATATTAAATATAATGCAAACATTTTGCCCACATAGATTCTCAATAAAATAGAAAGAACAAACTTCTATTAATTAGTAAAACGAGTTTCGCTACAAAAAATAAGTTTTTAGTATATAATTCTATCAGTTGGATAAGTTTATTTGAGACCGTTGGATGAACTTATTGAAGTCTGCCTTGTTTTATATTATAGATAGATAGATATGCTTTTGTAACTGTTGTTCTCAATGTATGATGCTACATCCACTTTCCTACAAACTGCATAGATGTAGCATAGTTGAAACTTTTTCAACGCTGATGACTATGCGCTCTTTATGATGTTAAAACAATTTGAGTATTTTGATAGCTTCTCAAATATTTGAATACTATTTGTATTGATGTGTAACATCACTATTGGCCAATTCTGGGACGTCATTTGCTTAAAACAGATTTACTATTGTCCTAACCTAGGGGGTCAGAGGTAGTAATAATGCATTGCGGCTGATTATAGGATTTTTTCTTGCAACTAAATGTGGTGGTTTCTTTGAGTTGAACTCTTTTTGTATCTAGTCGTTATTCTACACCTTTTTAACGTGAAATATTCAATTCTTATGATTTTTTCTGGTCAACAGGATCGAAATGCGCTGATTCAGTCACTGTCAACAAATCCTGAGTTTCTTAAAAACAAGGTAAGCATTTTGATGCACTGTCGTGATATGTTCTCCTAGACTAATTGTGGCAAAAAACATTAAAACAAGAACAAAAACATCGGTTGTGATATTCACCAGAGATGCAAGTGATATGAAATACTTGTTAAAATCGAGCCATTTAACATACTAAGCTAAATAAAACTTGAATTTCTGGGCGGGCAACAATATCTATGATGGTGTTTCAAGGTTTCCTTGTTACTTTGATCTGAGGGAAAAAATTTCCCAGATTTGCACACCCTTTTATGAATTAAATTTTGCATTATTGGTTGTATTATTGCCAATAGTTAGACCTGGATGATAAAAGGGGCCTGCACATTCCAACACAGTGGTTTAATGTAGACCTGTTTCCTGAATAACTGCAAATGGGTATTTGTTTTTTGAATACTGGTTACTCCGCCAGGCGCAGGTTCTTTGTTCTTCAACTATTATCAGATTCTTAAATTTTGAACTCCATATGGTCGATACTCGATATTGCCAAACTTATATGTCTCTTAATGTGATTGGTGTTTCTGGCTTTCCTAATGTGATTGATGTTTCAGGCTTCTGAAGGAAATATGGTTGTGGATTACAAAGATTGGCAAATTCCTCTTGGACGCAGGTTCAGGTGAGCCATCATACACCGTGCCAATAGGATATCTGGAAGTTGCTTAAGAATCTTTTCCAGTTATATGATGACCCAATTTGTAGTGATTACTCATGTTGAGTTCAGACATTTGTTTACAATAAGCTGTTTTCCCAAAAATAAAGGTTTAAGAAGGATTTAATAGTAAAAAATTTAAAAGGAAATGCATGATAGAGTGGAAAATATCCTTGTTGAACACAATGTACGATAAATTAGAACTTTGGCAGGCATCTAAAGGTTTGCTAGAAGATCAAGCTGACGTAAACACTTTGGTCTTCAAAATCAACACAGGGTCCGATTGAGTGTACACTTAACCATTGCTTTATTTTATGTACATACTACCGATTTCTTAGTCATTTCCAATAATTTGCGAATGAGCATCCAGGTTTTGCAGTTATATGGTTGCACTCCTCTCCTTAACTAGTTATAACAATATCTACCGAACCTGCTTTAGATAATTCTGTGAAGCTGCTTTTTGCGCATCTGATCTGCTGCTGTTCCACAGATCATTGAAATTATGGATGGTATTACGACTATATGGTTTGGAAAATCTGCAGTCTTACATAAGAAACCACATTGAATTGGCTAAACAGTTTGAAGAACTTGTTGCTCAAGACCCGCGATTTGAGGTACTTTTTTTTCCCTGGCGAACTCATTTGATTGATTATACTAATTGGTCTTAGGAGCATGTATTAACATAATCTTTTGCAGTGAAGTGTATGGTCCAAATTTTAGATCTAAAAAAGTTTTGGTACGAGAATCAATGTAGACAAGGGGATTAAATTTTATTTAACCTCCTACATTATAGAATGAAGAGCAAGCTTGGAAGTTTGAATTGTGATTCCTAAATTCTTTTGACCATGTTGGGCATAAGAAGTGTCTCAAACAGCCAGGCCAGCCAGCACTTGTTGGCTGTATGCCTGCGACCTTTCCCTAAGTTCTATTCTCTTGTGGACAAGGTTGGGGTTCAAATATGTATCCTCAGTTGGCTTCAAGCCGCCCAGAACATCTCAAGATGATTAACTAACCTATCAATGGTCCTTGTCTTAAAAATTTGTATCCTTTGTTTTCCCAAGATGTTCTTTTCTTATTATTGTTTGAAGAAATGCACAACATTACTGTCAAGGTTCAATGCCAAGTCTAGATTTAACGAATCTATGTATGTTTTTTGATCATGCTGTCTGTGTCATGGCTGAAATTAAAAAAATCATTCTTGTGGCTAAACTAGTACAATAAATCTGTGCAGGTTTTTGCCCCCAGGAAGTTTTCTTTGGTTTGCTTTCGCCTTGTGCCTCCTCATAATGATAAAGATTGTGCCAACAAACTGAACCACGACCTATTGGATGCTGTTAACTCAACTGGAAAAATCTTCATTTCCCACACAGTATGCTCATATTTGTGTTATTCTTTTTTCCTTCCATGAGAAAATTGATTCCTGGTAGTTCTACTTCTTCCCTAATTTCACCTATTTTGTTGGAACAAAATTGATAAGATAGATGGTTTTTCATCACATAACATTTTCCAATTGAAAAGGTTATTTTCTTCACAGTCCATGCATTGAGCATATTGCTTATGAACCATTACTCAGGTTTTATCTGGCACATACGTACTACGAGTAGCAGTAGGAGCTCCATTGACAGAAAAGAGGCATGTAATTGCAGCGTGGAAGGTTTTGCAAGATGAGGCCTCTGCCTTGTTATGTTGTGGTTAGAACAAGTAACGCAAAATTATCCATTTATTAATTGCATCGTTCACTTTTCATTTGAGATGCCGATTCATTATATAGCAGTTGTTTGATAATCGTAGTCTGTGGTAACTTGGGCATCGGCTGTTGGCTGTTGCTCCTATCCTTTTACTCAAAACACATTTCATTTGTTGGTATTACATCTGGCTAAGGGCAACTGTGAGAAAATAATTTTTATTGTATGCATACATTGCAGTATTTAATAACAGGAAAAGGGATGTTCTCATGATAAACATAGAATAGCTTTCAGGCTTCCAGATACCACACCAAATAATATTCCCTTTTAAGTGGTGTAATGTTGGCCATGAACCTTTTGAATTGAATCTGGTTCCTTGGAGTCTCTTGAGTCTCTGTGAGAAGTGAAAGGGAATTAGGGTTTGCTTTATCCTGATCAGTAGATCTTTACAGAATTGCTCAAAAGCAAGTTTTGTTTCTAGAATGCCCAAGTTGATGGGCAAATTGAAGGAGTTACTGATTACAAGTTGTAGATATTCTTACCAAGCACACATGATACATATAAGGGTGTATCCAGTGCACAAATCTCCCATCATTGCGAGGTTTGAAAAGGGTTAGACGTACGTATTCTTACCCTTACAAGCAAAGAAACTGTTTTCACGATTTAAACTTGTGATCTTTAGGTTAAACTTTACTGTTGCGTCAAAGTCTGGCCACACACATGATACATATATGTTATTTTTTTTTTTTTTTGCCAAGATTAAGTTGATATATGCTCCTTAATTTTTCCAATACAAGCAACCTTAGTTTTGTCCATCCATAACGATGGGTGGGGAAAACCTTTTTTTTTCGCTGGACATGGGGAGGGGACCGTCTTCAAATTTTGATGAATTTATTGTAATCTTATAGTATTTACCAAGTGTCTCTTATAATTATACAGAGTTCACCTTCACCCCTCTTCCTCATACTTTCCTTTCACTAACTATTCAATCCATGAAACTTATGTAGGGCAAGATAGTCAAGTTATTCAATGAGTAAAATGGTTGGGATTAGATAAATCTTAGACTTGTTATGATTATAAATGTTAATATTATGAATGAATAATATTATTTTAATTTTAACACAACACGACACTACTTTGAACTATGTCGGCCCAAGTGACCCACATGTGGGATACTTTCGCTTATGAACAATGCTATTTTTTTTGTTGTTATAAAATATTTATTCTTGTGTCAATTATTTTTATAAGTTCGAATTCAACGAACGACGGACGGTCGGTCGGTCGGTCAGTTGTCGTGGCATGAGCATGGATATTGGTTCTTGATGTGGTCCTTGTATGCCTAAAAAGGCTGGCCCGGCTAGCCGTACGGACAGTTATAATGCTTAACCTTTTCTGTTATGACCTAATAAAGCGGTGCCCTTTACCTCTACACAAACTTCCTCGTGCCGACCCATCTAACCAAAAGACAACGACAACGTTAAAAACGTGGCCGGCCCACCGTCATGACCGGAGAAGAGAACTCCGTTGGTGATGTACATAATCAATAAAACATTACACATTTCTAATGAATCGTTGTCATTTGTCATAGAGCTTATCGCTTATCGACAATAAGTACTGGTTGGTCATGACCCTTGTAGCCTAGTGACTCTCCCACCCTAGTTAAATGAAACTTTCTTAGGTCAACTCTTATTTTTGGTGCCGTCAATTTAGATTTTTCTTGGATATTAACTTGTGAAGTGACTTCATTTTTGTAACAATCTTCATTTTTTATACGAGTCAGAGATTGGTTGTGCAAAAATGTACGTTTAATTGAATTAAGTTGCGTTGAATTGAATATTCCATAATAGTAGGTGGATTAATGTCAATTGATTGAGGATTGTTTAGAAAAATAAAAACCATAAAGTATAAACCGTCAAATTTTAAGCTCTACCAAACAATAACATAGCCATGGAGTGGGATGGCCCACAACTTAAATTTGTGAAGCAAAGTTGGAGAGAAAAAAGTTTTAGTAAATTAAATATTTTTTTAGACTTATTTGCGAAGAAGTGTGTGGATAAATTATTTATTCTATTAAATTCAATTTTAATAAAATATTTTATTATTAGATACAACATTTAAATGACATTTGAATTTTTTTACTTTCTTAAATTTCCTTAAATTATGAATAATTCTTATTTTTTTTTCACTCTCTCTCTCTCCATTACTCACTCACCTTATTTTTTCACTTTTTTTTTATATTCACCCTATTTTCCCTCTATCTTTTTGTCTCTTCTATTTTCTCTCTATCTTTCTCCCCCATTGATAATTTATTTTCTTTTCAAATATGTAAAGATTTAGTTTAATTTTTTCATCTTCCTCTTTCCCATATTTTCTCTTTCTCTCACTCACTCTCTCTCTCTCCTATTCTCTCTTACTATTACTCTTTCTCTTCTTATTCTCTCTGTTTATATCAAAGTTACAAAAACATAGTTACACCAATCAGTTATAATTATTTTATAATATACCAAACAATTACTTATATGTTTTGATAAACCAAACAGTTACACAAAATTGCAACACCAACTTAATTTGTCATTCAGTTGTTCACATAATCCAAAGAGTTACACCATTTAATATCACGACATGGTTACATCAATTATATAAATTAAATTTGGTGTAATGGTAAACTTTTTTGCATAATGATAAACCTAATTTTGTATATATAATTGGTATAATCATGTCATAATACTAAATAATGTAACTCTTTGATTTTTATAAACAACTGAATGACAAATTGAGTTGGTATTATAATTTCGTATAATTATTTGGTGTAATTGTTTGATTTTTTAGAACATATATGTTTAGTGTATTATATGGTAAGTGTAACTAATTATTGTAATTCGTGTAATTATTTTATTATAACGTTGATATTAGGACAGCGAGAGAGAAAGAGAGTAATAGTGAGAGAAAATAAGGGGAGAGAGATGAAAAAATAAAATAAAATCTTTATATTTGAAAAGAAAATAAATTATCAATGGGGGAGAGAGAATAAGAGATAGATAGAGAGAAAAAATGGAAGAGTGAGAGAGTAATAGAGAGAGGAGGGAGAGAGAGTAACGGAGAGAGAAGGGAGAGAGAGAACAATGGAGTAATGAATGGTCTTTTAGTTTTTTTTTTTCAAAAAAATACATTTAAGGCTAAATAAGTTTCCTTAATGTACTTTCCAAAAAAAAAAGTTTCCTTAATGTAGTTTAACTCAATTAAATCCAATTTTTTGTACTGCATTTTAAATTTCCCTTAAATATATAGTCTTCCAATTATGATATTTGTGTCAATTAAGCTCATAAATTTTTTATTTTTGGTGTCAATTGAGTCTCTAAATTCTTTAATTGTACTAATTGAATCTTTCTATCTATCTCCGTTAGATTTTCTAATTGAAAGTGACGAAGTTTGTCACTCATGTGACGCAAATGGTTAGAATAAACTACACATATATGACCTTCAAACTATAACTCTACGACAATTAAGTCGTTGAACTTTTTTTTGTATCAATTAACACCAACAGAAAGTTCAATGGTTCAATTGACCCAAAAAAAAAAAAAAACTTAGTTGATACAAAAATTATAATTTGAGAGCCATCTGTAAAATTTACTCAAAAAGTTTCATGGAAACATACATCAAGCTTATCCTTTGCCAGAGGAAAAAAGTACTTTTTGTCATGCAAGTTGAATCTGGATGCCCTTGAAGAATCACTTGCCAAAAAGTAATTTCAAAAAGTTGAAAATAAAATTAATTCCTTTGTCACTTTGCAGAGTGGGTGTGCTTGTCATATTCATCATTATTGTGGCCTTACAGCGAGTGCCACACAAAAGGGAACATTTACAGCACAAAATCCCTATTGCTAAAAAGATCATATAGCCCCTTCAAAGGCAGCAAGTGTTGGTGTACAGGTTAAATGTGCTTGAAATATACTTTGGCCAAGGTGAATTGACTATTCTTTTTGGATGAGCATCTCTCTTAGATTCAAAACTTGTGTTGTTTACTCTTCTTGTTATGGTCCTTTAACATGCCACACTAGTATTCTTTCTCATAACTCATAAGCATATTCTCCGGCACCTTCGAACAAATTAATGTATTATTTTATTGACTCGATTGTTAGAATAGACCGGATAGAAAGGCCTTAAACATATATACTACTACCTTGAAAGTTTTAAGTTTAAATTTCGTAAGAGACACCATAATTAACATGATTCATGCAAGGTAATGACTTGCATTCCGAGTTTATGCCGCAACCATGAGTACAAAGTGCATGATTGAGACGATTATCAATTATCGGAATGAAATATATGTTTTTGATTAGGGTTTCATCAAATTTTTATTGAAAGGAAAATGAGATGAATGGAGAATATAGAGCAAAAGGTAGGCATTGCTTTAAATCCATGGTGTCAGTATCATATCTTAGATAGCTTTATTGTCTTGATATCCTAGGCTTTGGTTGTAAAAGAATCGGGGTGAGGAGGGATATGCCTAAGATATCTTAGATACTTCCTACCGATATGTAAATATAGTGGCAAACATCAAACAATTGGCATACATTCCTAAGTCCTTAAATAACTTTGTGTAAATGTCTGTATGTTAGTGAGAGTTGACGATATAAGTTTGTAATGCTACTATACAAATGCATACCTAAGGCATAGTTATACTTGGTTCATATTTCATGACGCCATTACTTTTTTTTTTTTTGCTGGTTAAACAAAAAGGTGGGAGCAAGAACGAGCGTCTAGCGACCACCTTATTGGGCCCTCATTAGTGGGATCATTAGGCTTTCATTAGTTGGATCATTAAATCCTTAATCGTTCTTGAAACACCTATCAGAATCAGACTTAACTAGACTAGTATAACGATCAATCACCAAACTCAAATGAAAACTCCAAGACTCGAACTCTCAACCATTATCCAAGTGAACAACACAAATTAAATGTGTGATTTAGGCGATATATTTTATCCTCTATATATGATACTATTAAACGGGGTCAACTAGCATTTATCACAATCAGGGAATAAAGAATGACACCAATCAAGAAATAAATCCTTAAAGAGTCTATCATCGTATCCCTAAAATCATTCTTTCTCTCTCTCAGCATCGAAAAGTTCCTCATAAGCATGTCCGTTTTCAACATAAAAACTAATTTTTGTATTGAATTAACACTATCGAAAGCTTGTTCAAGAAAAAAAAAAAAAGAAGAAGAAAGTATTATCCAAAAGAA